ACCAAATGACTTGTGGTTCAGTAAAAATCAAGGCTGGGCAAAGAGGCCTGGGAATCATCCAGTAGGATGCACTTATGTGTTTTCGCCATTCCCTCTTTAATATCACAGAAAAGCAAATTCTCTTTTTTATTAATACTCATTTCCCTGAATCAGGTGTACAAATGAGAACGAGAAAGTAGAGAGGAAAAAAGAATCAAGAACTGCTTTCACCCTAGGTTTTCTAGTTTGGGGATTCAAATGGTAAAATTGCTTTCCAGTCCCCCACCCCCAAACTGCCATGTACCCAACTACATTCACCCACAGATAGTTTCTTTTGTCTTCATTCCCTATCTCTGGGAATACAGTTGAACAAAACATTCATCTGGATGAAGAAGACAATATGTCGCCCCTATGTGAAGCTAATTGGTTTGAACAGTGATGAAACTTTGGCTTCTCCCATCTGAGCTAAGTGGTACTGCCAATCTTTAAATATAGCTGTCCTACGAAATCATATGGCATCTAATGCTAAGTGTRTACTGACTAAAACCAGATGCAAAATATGACAGAAATTTTGTTCAAAGCCTTGCAGCTTTAAAGAATAATGGCTCCAAACATTCCTGGTCTAATCTAAATAATGCTCTGCAAATATTTCAGACTATTTTTCTCACATCTATCCCAGCCCAACCACTCCACGATTGAATTTCATGACTTGACTTCATTAACATAAAATCAAAATGCACTCCAGCCATCACCCATCCATCTTCTTGTGAGGTGATCCTTGAAAACAAGGGTTCTATGGTTCTAAAAGTTTGGGACATGCCAAATACTGCATCTTAGGTATCCACTGTGCATTGGGTACCTCAAAAATTCTGCAAAGTTCTATGACAAGGACGAGTTCAATTTTTTTGATTCAACATTTCCCAAACTTACTGGGAAAAAAATTTCCTTCATCTCCCACGAGGCATCTATTAATATTCGTAAGAACTAGCATTCAACARAACTATATGGAAAATGAATCAGAGCAATATTATATGTAAGTCTCGGGTTTACATCAGATACTAGAATCTGAGGCATAAGGGGTAGAAATGTTGACTGCAGACATAAAAAGGAAGATTCTATTGGCTGAATTGTTTTAAAGAAATTCAGGAACCCTTTGCAGATAAATCTATGTGTGCATTGCAAGTGTCTTCTGAAAGAAAAGAGCAATCGTGGATGAAAAGAAGCTGTTTCCCATCCACAGTCACTGGCCCCTTCTAGATAAAAAAGAAGGGCAGCTTTGATGTCAAAGAGGATTGGCCTCAAGTCGTCATTTTCAGATGGGGAAAGTGAGGTCCAGTGACCAACACTGACTAGATCTGGACCCTCTGGGCAACAGGACTGCAATAATCATCCAGGTACCTCAACTCTCTCTGCCCACTGCTCCTGTAGGCAATCTCAATCCTTCCCTGACATACTACCTTCTGCTCCCTGATAATCCCACTGTGGTACTTCTTAGACATGCAGATAAAATACCTGAAGCAGCATGCACTCTCTCAGGTATTTTTGTGTTTAAATAGAAAAACTATTTAATAGAAAAACTGTGAGATCTGAAACTACCTCCCTCAGAGAGTCATCCACACATAATTGGAACTTGATTCGTTTTTTGAACAGTCTACATCTGACTCACTACATTCTCTCTGCCTTCTAGAACCTTGCCTTGTATTTTAAACCACAAATTCAATACTAGATTACATAAACATATTATGCAACTCTCTAATTTGTTTCATGGGAGCAAGTTGTCTTTCCAAATAAAACACCAGATCCCACAAAACCCAACTTTAATTACCCATGGTACCTATCCCAGCGTTAGACAACCATAAGCAAGGCAGCTAACACTCTTTGTTTAGAAATTAGAGGAATTCTGAAGGAGATATTAAAACAACAAGGAACGCTACGCAACAGTAGCAGGAGCCCCTCACTGCTCCAAATCACATGTGGGTCGGAAAGTCAGGCAACCAAGAGCTTCTCTGGTCAAGGAAAAAACTCAACCCACATTAAAACTTAGTACACATCAATCTCATTGGTTTTCCTAGATTTATATTTAAAACACTACAGAGAATTTTCTCTTTAAGTATTTGGAAATATGTCAGGGTAAGGAGCCCAATAACATCAGTAAAATAATTTACTTTCTCAAAAGAAAGGAAGAGCAAATGAGAATCACAAGAAAGCCATGTAGATGTGGGGGGTGGAGTGGGGATTCACAGAGGGTCCTCAAGTAGGAGCACTGGAGTGCCACCTTTCTTGTTCCCAACCCTCAGGGAGCAATCGGTGAACTAAACTGAACTACTCATTTGCAAAAGATTGGGTAGGTAGGAGAAGAACACAGATAAGGGTAAATTAAGCCACCCTATTTTCTTTGAATCTTTTTAAAATTCTTCAGCTAAAAAAAGACTCCAAATAATAGCATCAACTGCTAATCTAAAATTGTTATGCTCTTGTCCTGACCCACCAGCCTGTTTTCYGGGTGCTTTGGGCTAGAGAACGAAGAAAGGAAGACATGATTAAAATCTATTAAAATCTACTTAAAATCAGATGTACTGCATTTTAGAGATGGCATGAACCTCAAGGTCATGCGGTCAAGGGCAAAGACTCTAGACAGATAGGTGTCCATCTCTCTCTCAAGACTATATTTGCTGAATTATCTTTTTTAATCTCTAGACACTCAAACTACTCATACATAAAATCAGAATAACAAGAGTATCTAACAGGAGGATTAAATAAAGTGATACCTATTAAGAGCCTGCGTGATTGCCCTTGGTAGTGTGAGCTATTTCTCTATTTCTTATTCCCAAACAATTTTTGTTTGTTTGTTTGTTTTTGAGGTAGTGCCAAATTCTCTCTGCACACAAAGAAGCAGGGAAAATTATATCTGCTAAGTCACCTATATGAAAACTGAAATATAGAAATAGTTTACAAAATTGAACAAAAGAGTTCACTTCTGCAAGATCTATTACCCTGAGCCTCAGGACAATCATGTGGTCATAGCCCAACTGAAAGTCCTCCATGTAGACACCTAGCAAATGCTGCGGGGCACTTAGTCATTTCAAGGAATGTCTGTTCAAATAGTTTTGGAGCCCTGTGGATTCATGACACGTATGTGTTTTAGCCATTCCCTCTTTAATATCACAGAGAAGCAAATTCTCTTATTGGTGGATATGTGTCATGAGTCTATGTGTCATGAATGGTGAGAATTTGCTTCTCTGTGATATGGTGTGACATGGTGGGTTCATGACACAGCCACAGSTGCCGGCAGTCCAGAGGTAGGAATGAGGAAAGCAGTGGTGCAGGCTCTGCCCGGCGCGCCCACACAGGCTGTGACAATAGAGGCATCGGAGGGAGTTGGACCAGAGCCTCATTTTCCTTCTCTCCCATTTTCCATGATAAGCAACAGAAAGAAGGTCAGGAAGGGAAGAGGAGCTCAGCTCAGGAGATCTGGGAGAGAATGCCCTTGTGAGGGCCACTGCTCACAACAGAATAAAGACACACGGCTGGCAGCACGATAGCCCACATCTGTGTGGCTTCTCTCTGACACCCAGCGCTGCTACCGGAGAACACAGCGCAGAGAGCAGCGGGAGCGGAGTCCACCTTTCACTCCTGGAGTGATCCAACTTGGATAATGGTTGGATGCATTAAAAAGCTCATTTCTGATGCAGCTTTATGAGAACTTTGATTCCCTGGCCAAGTGCATATCTCTTGTTGGCTGAGCGGGAAATGCAAAGGCAGGGGCTGCAGGAGCTGGCAGGGGGCTCGACCCAGTGAGCAGCTGCCAGTGAGAAGCACATGGGGCAGCCTTAGAAAGAACAGACTCCCTGGAAGGTTCAGTTGGGTCAGCATACCCAACTATCACAGTCTTCACTCTCCACTCATCCCTATTGTCTCTCTAAACAAAAAGCACATTGCTATCTAAACTGCTTTTCCAAGGGCAGACAATCATAGGCAGAAGCAGAGACCGTGGGTTCTAGCTCAGGTCTGCTTCTGACCTCTTTGCATGGCAATGAACACATACATCACTTGGTCCATGGACTGTAAGCAGCTGCTGTCTGGTTATTGAATTATTTGTCTCCAAGTCCTAGTAAGCTTATCCAGAAAAGGTACATCTGAGGGTATTTACTTGGTGGTATAGAGGAAAGACTGAAATGATCTACATAAAGAGCCCAGATCACAATCAAGTTTAGCAGTTAATATAACTATTTCTGAAACCAGCTGGATGAACTCTGGTCTCCTGCAGCACAAACACTGGTTTTATGCTACACAGTGATTCTGGCAGAGAAGCTGATGCTCAGAATTCAGAAAACAAAGGCAAGTCACTGTGACGTCTATGCAAAGGTGATGATGTTCATGTTTTGTGATCTTAAGCTCATGCTGGTTATTGCCAGACAAGTCAACTGGCAGCTTAGAAAGCACTGCACTGATAGGACGAAGTCATTTTCTTAGGGTTGAAGTCATATCCCAAGGTGCTCCAGAGCTATAAATCCCTATGGTGGAAAAAGCCCTGGGTTCTTCCAGGTTCCCCAGAGAATCACTCATTCTGAGTCATTAGTAAATCAAAAATCATCTGCACCTGGGTTAGTAGTGTCATTTAAATGGTGGTCTTTGAAGATCAGGCTAGGCTAGACTCTGTGTATAGAATTCCTCAGACTACCTTGTTAAAGTAGCTCTTCCAATATATATTGTTACTTTGCACCTTCTTTTGGTTCCCAATATACAAGAGGACCTCCACTCCATGTAAGCCCAAGAGGACAATTTACAAAACAGAGATTTCCCAGTGCTTACGGGCCAGAGAACAGAAATCACCCAGTGGAAAGCTGGACCTCCTGGTGAACTCAACCCATCTTTCCTAGTTTCCCGAAGTTCTCCTAGACAGGAGCCGGCCCACCTAGAGCAGCCCCACAAAATGCCACACGTTCTATTAGAAATTCAAGTATAGACAGTATCTTTAACTAGAACAAGCCATTAGATATTAATGTTCAGACAACACCTACCTCACTCCAGACCAGCATGGTACCGAATATGACCTGTAACCCATCAAAGAAATTGTCCCCTATGATGATCACAGTCGCGCCTCCCGTGGTCCATCCTTCACTGGGGCTGATGGCTTTGATACAGGGAGTAGCTGCTTTTCAACACACATGAAAAAGAGAAGGAGACTGCTGTTAGAACCAAACTTTAATGATGGGAGACTTGAGAAAAAGAAAAAAAATCTTTTATCTTTTCACTAACAGAAAGTCCCTCAAGATCTCAGCATTTCTCAGCCACATTGGGACCTAAAACCAAGGGTGCAGCCTCAGTTCTCAGCATTCCTTTCATTGTCTCTCTTAAGATATATATATATATTTTACCCAAATCTTGATCAAGCTGGAAACCTTATAAAATATAACACAGGAGTGAAACTGAATTTACAAAATACTAGTAGAAATTTTTTAAAAATGGGTGACTTATTGGAATGCACTGGAAATCTTACAGAATTGCTTGAYAATTAAATCTGTCTCCTGAAAAGAAAACTTATACATTTTTAGAGAAACATTTCTGTCCAATGGGAAGTTAAGAAAGAGGAGGACATAGCAGGGGTGATTCTTACTCTGAGCCTTCTATCTATAATACTAACATAGCAACATTCCTCATTAAAAATCATTAGAATTTTTTCAAATAAATGTCATGGATCTCATTTTATAGATGCAAAACAGGTCACTCAGGGTGAATTATGCAACCAAATAGCAGAGGCCAGGCTGAGCCACAGATACTCTGTGACCTTTGCTTTGTTGTGTTTCCCAGGCTTAAAAACCTACAACCAACTTTTTCAAAATTTCATATCTCTTCTCTTTTCCATTGTAAACGGCCCTTGGAGATAGGAAATAGTTTGAAAATACTGTGATTCCAAACAGACTGGAGGTGGTTTGCCTAATGAGCATGGCATCCTTTCAACAGAATTGCTAGGCATCAATGTAATTGTTGGATCATGTTTTGAAATCTCTCTGAGGGCACCTTGGGGCCACTGAGAGTTTTTAACTCCACGATGCCATGCTACTCTTCTCCTGATTACTTTCATGAACAGCAACAAAGCAAAATTCTAAAGCAAGGAAGATATTGTGCAAGAAGAGAGAATGAGACACTCCTCTTTAATAAAAAAGTTTATTAAGTATTCAAGACTGACTGTCCAAGCATTAAAGCCAATAAGAGCTCCAGTTAATTTTAATGGGGGGAAAAGAACTGGCAAAAAAAAAATTATTGGACTTTGTCAAATTTGGCAAAATGTCATGCTTTAACTTTTGCAAGAAGGAAAGAAAACATTAAGTCCATCCCGGTGGGACCATTGCTCACGTGCCACCACACAAACAAGGAGCATGGGTTTGGTTCTGATTCAAATTCATCTTTAAAAATTGCACAGAGAAATTTGGAAATATCCAAAGTAAACATCGCATGTTGGCCGAGCTTATGGCAACGCATCTGCAGCTAAGACAAGGCTGCTCGGTTGACTTTATGCTCCTCCACTTCATCCCCCAAACAAAATAACTAATCAAGAAAATGGAAATGATTCATGACTTGACTTCAGAATTCTTGCCCGTTTTTTTTTTTTTTTTTAACACACATGGGGGCTGTGATCAATGTTCCACAGACATGGGACTTTGTCTTAAACAAAAGCTTTCTTTTAAAAAGACTTAAATGCATGATTAAGTGCTCCTGAACCAATGGTAAAATAGAGTATATGATTTCAAGCAACTCATAAGATAAACAACACTTAACAACTATGCAAAGTTCTTAAAATATAAACAGTTTAGAAATAGTTTGTTAATTTCCCAAAATCTTTAACTTTTTTTTTTCATTTATAGCTCAATATACTTAGTTGCCAGAGTAGAATAGAAAAGGTGTTGCTATCTCTCTGGATACTTCTGAGAAATACTGTATATTGGTTAATGGCAAAGTGTGGCATCCAGTGGTGTCATTAAGCACTGACCCTGTGGTTACCCTGGCACACCACAAAATGGCCTTCATGCTAATTATCTGTTTTATCTTTGGGATTTCTGTTAATGTTCATTTTTTAATCTTGCAGATATATCTGTTTAGATGAGTAGGGTCTCCTACAGGTTTCTCACCATTGTACACAAAGAGGGGGAAGGGGTGTGTTCATGGATCTTAGAGGAAGTCCTTACAATAGCAATGGCCAAGACCTGCTGGTTTACACTGGACTCCATCCCTCTTTTTCTCCCCTTGTTATTTTTAAGATAGAGAAGGCATGTAAGAATACATGTATGTGCATGCTTTTAATCTCTTCCTAAGGAAAGTGGTCATGTTTTCAGATACCATGAGCACCTGTTCAGAAGCCAGGCTGAATGTCAATGAGTCAGAGGAAAGAAAGAACACCAAGTCAGAACCTAATGGGGAAACACTATGTGACACCATCTTCTTAGATGTTTGGAGAAAAGGACCTCGAGAGAAGCACTCAGGCCGAGTGACACACTCCATCCATCCTGCTTCTCTCCTCTACTGGGATTACAAATCATTCATAGAACAGGTAAGTCAGGCAGTACTTCTAAGTTAGGATCTCAGAGGGTTCTCAGGTTGCTCCTGTACATCTTTCAGGTCATACTAGTCTTGAGAGGAAACTCTATGGCTCATTCCCACTGGGAGAGAGGGTGCAGAAGGGAGGCCATCAGCATTTAGTAACTGGAGGTCACGGATGCCAAGTTCAAACCATGCATGGGATAGTCCCTGAAAATGAAGAATCCCCAAATGCCCATAACACAAGTAGAGAATACTGCAACTAGCTAATGGGAATCCGGCCTAGGAACCCTTGTTAAGAGTTCACAGATCCATGTAGGCTAAGGCCAGAAACAAAAAGACAGCAAGCTGCTCTGGGCATCAGAACTAGCAAAAGAGGATGGGCCTGTCACTCAGCACTGGGGAAGCAGTGGGAGGATACTGTGCACTGCACATGCCCATCTAAAGGTGACAATGGTGCTCAGCTCCAGCCTTTGGGACCCACCAGATGTAGGCTCAAGGTAGGTCAGGCTTCCCATCTTTTCAAAAAAGCCAAGAATCTAGACTGTTGTTTGAAATTTCTCAGTCTTCAAATGTTAGACTCATTATATATATTTAATCTATAGGCTGAACACATTTCTGGACCGGCTTTAACTGACAGGCTGTCATTTAGCACCTATACCTTAGCCACAAATAAACCTGCCAAACTAAAACTAACCAGGAGATACTTGCAATTATGGCCCAAAGTAGATGTATCCAAAAGTTCCCTGCAGTATCGACAGCAAAGAATTCAAGAAGATAGGTGCCATCCATGGGGGAGTGGTTAAATAAACTATAGGACAATTATATGTATCACAGAAAGAATTTTATTAGAGCAAATGAAAAATTCTATAAACTGACATGGGAAGATGTCAACATAAAATGAAGTGAAAAAGGCAATTTGTGAACTAATGAATAGTGTGAGCCTGCTTATTTTTAAAATGATATGTATGAGCCTGTGTATGCAAGAGTGTATATGTGTGTGTGTGTGTGTGTGTGTGTGTACACACACATGTGTATGTGCAACCTCATGTAAATAGGTATGCTAGACGAAGATGTGGAAGGAAGAATGGACATCAACTGTTCCCAGTATGTCTTCATAAAAAAGAACTGTAACTAGAGTGGGTTTGACAGAAAAAGGAGACGAGTAAGTTTGACTCTATCGACATTTATGTAGTTTGAATTTTTTCAATGAGCATATATTAAGGTAATATATCATAATAATTTTAAAAAATTAAATGACAGCAGAACACTCAACAACAGTTTTTCTCTTCAGAGCAAACTGACACTAAAAAACAAAACAATCACCTGCAATCAGCTGTGCCAACTGACAGACCCTGGGCCTCTCCATCCCTCCTCTTTTGGGGTAAGTTTTGTCTGAGGATGTCCAGAGAACACTGGAAATAGCCAGGGACCTGTTTTTCTTTCATTCAAGATACCCAGAGGAAAGCAGAAGTACATCCGATGAAAGCCCATGTTCTAATAATCACAAGTGGATAGATTCAGCAGAATTTGAGAGTGAAAAGATTTACAAAAGAGTTCAATTCCACCCAGAGACACAATAATCAGTACAATTCCATCTCCAAGAAAATATTAGGGAATAGTAAATGAGGGAGGTATGTTTGAATACAAACTACTTTTACCAGTAAACTCTTAATTTAATTAATAAAAGATTGTTCTTCCTCTCCAATACATTTCCATACTATAGCCACAGAACAAGAAGCCAATTTCTGATTTTAAATTTCATTAAAAATAAAAGTTTGGTTTTTTTTTCTTTTCCTTGCTTCTTTTCATTAATCCTCCCCCACCCCTCACCAGCCACCAAAGTAGAGGAGATTTTCCTTCCTTCAAACTATGACAATAACATGATTACCCCACCAGTTTAGCATAATGGCTCTGAAATGCTCATGGCACATTGCAGAGTTAAAGTGGAAATTATTAGGTAGCTCTTCTTTGTTATAATAATGATCACTCCACAAATAAAAGCTCTTCTCCCCAAGGTACTGCAAGGCACAAAATGCTAATTCTGAAGATTATGTGTGCGCTTTTATTAAATATTACTATGCCCTGCCTGTTTGAGGGCTCCACTGCTCTGATTGTTTTATGAGTACCATGTTAATGTCACCCCATCTTGCTAGCAGCAGGCACACATTTTAGCGTTTGTATGAGAGTTGATCAAAGGCCACGTGCTGGGGGAATTGCTGAGAAAACACGGACAAGCGATAAAAATCTAACAGATTAATTGGTTTAAATTTCATTTCAGGGTGTTGAACTTTGGCTCAGGACTTTAATACTACACCGTGAGTCAGGGCCTAATTACCAGATTTCCAATTTGCTTCTGAACAATGGTCATGGTAAGAAGGAAAAGAGAGGGGAAAAATATTTAAAAAAAAAAAAAAAAAAGAATCTTTCAGCCTCCAGTGCATATTTAACAACCAATGCTCTGTGTGCAGACAGCTGTACCCGGGGACATTTGCTATCACCTGCTCTACCTCCAGAGCATTTCTGATTCCTTCCAATAGCCTCAGAAGGCAGAAGGAATCATGGACGCCCTCAGCAGTTAAAAATTTTCTGGTTTACAGAATCAATGTTACAAGA